ATTGGCCTTTAAAGGCCAACCCCAGCCCTCCCTTGCTTCAAAATTTAAGCTGTATTGTACTTCTGTGTTTCATTCTGGGGATTTTTGGGGGCAGGAGGACCCTACATTTGCCTCCTGTGAGTTTCTTGTCTTTTATTTTTTGCTCTGGGCTATTAAATAATGCACATGGATTGACACTATGTTGAATTACTACTTAGTCTGATGGCCTTTAAAGGCCAACCCCAGCCCTCCCTTGCTTCAAAATTTAAGCTGTATTGTACTTCTGTGTTTCATTCTGGGGATTTTTGGGGGCAGGAGGACCCTACATTTGCCTCCTGTGAGTTTCTTGTCTTTTATTTTTTGCTCTGGGCTATTAAATAATGCACATGGATTGACACTATGTTGAATTACTACTTAGTCTGATGGGCTGTCTAGATCAAGTAGACCTTAGAGCTCTTCTGGAATCTGAGTCGTGACTTCTTTTTCATGACGTAACCCTGAAATCAGTTGCATAGAAAGCAATATTGTGGTTATATTTTGTGTGAGTAGAGTGTTCAGAATCTGGGCTAGTACCATTAAGGAAAGTAGTGTTACTTTATTGGTACAGTGTACATGAAAATGGGAGTTTTGGTCTTAAGTGGGAATAAATTGCTTGGTCTACTTTGCCCTGTAGCAGGTTGCTGGCACCTCGGTGTAACTGGCAGTCTCTAGCACAGCCTCAGACTAAAATGCTGTAGCAGTATAAATCTGGAGTGTTGCCTGTTTGTCAAGAGCTAACCAATGCGATGGGCCGCCAAGTGTTTTTTCTTAACTTCTCTCCTGCAGGCAATAAATATAAGCGGGCATTGTACGCTTAATGTCTTATTCACACTGGCTATATTTATTTCTTTGAATTTGGCAGGTTCGTTTATGAGATTGGAAATAACCGTGATATCAAGCATCCGACTGGATGCAAAGGTCTTTTCACAGAGGATATTCAGCACTGGTAAACGGATTTGAGGATTTGCATGGGGTAAAAATGGAGGCAGAAATAAACTTCTGAAATTGAATCTCGGTCCGGGAATGATGGCGCCTCAGCTGTATACACATGCTTTCAATATCTCCCCAGTAGAGAATAGGAGATTGTGCATAAATGGAACACCATGGATTTGGCATCTCCTAGAAGAATGTGTCGAGAATGCGTGGGAGTACTGGAGCGTTGTCATAGGACTGATTTCCATTGTCTGTTTTCTGTTTGCTGCACTACCGTAAGTTTGAAGTCTTAAGCAGTCCTCAGATTCAGAGTAATCTTGCCTGAAGCCTTTTTCAAAAGCTGCCTTTTTTTTTATTTTATCTTGGATATGTTTCTCTATCTGCATAATACAGATATAATATGCCAGAGAAGCATGTTGTTCATGTTTGCAACAATATTTGGTGGTTGACAAATGAGCTTGATGTACTGTTCTGTTGTACTGACTTGACACTAATCTCTGCCACTTAGAGCAAATGAGAATAAATCACCTCTTCCCTCTTATCTTCTCCACCCTGAGATGTGCGTGCACGCTCAGGCACACTTGCAGCAGAAGCTGGCTCAGTGTTTATTTAAACCACATGCTCTGTCACCAGTGCTCTTGTGCTGGCTCCTGCCAATGAAAGGGGGATTGGGAAGAGGTCAGGAGCAGCACAAGAGTTAGCGCTTGGGTAGTGCTAAATCAGTTGCTCTTCGGTGGCTGGCGCTGGCTTCAGGTTGCAAATACGTAGGTGGGAGATGACAAAGGAAAAGTAGAAATGCTCCCAGCAGGTGGAAATGCCTGAAACGAAATGGGATTGAGTCCAAAGTCTGTCTCCATAAGCGGGATATTATTTAGTGAACTAGTAAAAGGGCTATGGAAATCAAGCAAAACAAAACCACTCTTAGTAAGCTGTTGAGCTTCAGAAATATTAGTTGAAATACTAGTTGAAAGGGGGCTTGACATTAAAACTGTCATGTTAGCGAGCATGGAATTCATCAAGATATGGCTAATGGACTCACGTTTGGGATTGCTTCATAGTCCCTGTTGGGAGCCTGAATACCAGCTCTCCAATTCAGTGGCGTAAGTGCAGTTGTCCAGTCTTTTGGAAGCTTTGTTCGTTCTTAGCCCCTCTATTTTAAATAGCAGTGGCTTTCTTATTTCAGTATTTTAAAGGCTGGCGTGTACAGCAGATGAACATAAAACGCTTACGGCATAGTTCTGGTGTCTGGAAAATGGTATTTCAGTGCAGGCCTCAAAAAAGGAGCACATGCAAGCAGTAATGAGGTTGTGATTTGAGCCTTTTGTTACGTTAGAGTAAGACATGGGGAGCTATAGTGATACTGAGTTCTTCTTCAAAAGGTAAGTGGAGTATTGCTGTGCTAGGTCTCTCGTGGTTAGAGTTTTAATCTTTCCTTTATTCAGATTTTGAAAAATGTACTTCGGATCTTATTAAGCATTTCTTTGCTTACCCTCTTTTACACTTACTTCTGGAATTTGTGCCAGTCAAATTTACATCGCCTGCCAGAATGGAAGAGTGGATCAAGCACTGTCTTTGGGCTTTCTGCTGTGTTGGATAGCTGGAGATCTGACAAATTTCGTGGGCTGCTATTTAACAAATCAACTGCCAATTCAGGTAATCTGTCAATACTCCTACTTTTTGCTTTATTCTCTTCAAACTGTCTCTATTAGTATTAATAATATTGCACAGTGAAGTACCTTTGGGCAAGAGAGCGGTTTTGTATTCTGCTCACTGATCTCCCATCCATAAAACACATCACAATTTCCCGAATATTTATGTTGATAGTTACGTGTTATAGGCACCATTTCACACTTGTAATTAACATTTGGGTGTTACTCAGTGATGAATGAAGTGGGGAATTTTCAATTAAGTGTCAAAGTAAACTCTCAGAGCAGATAAGGCTGGAGGGAAGTTGTGCTGTTTAGCTTGTAATAGAGCATGCTGTTTGGGCGTTACTACTCTTTAAACTTGCTTTTTCTCTTTTTGGGGGGGAAACTGTGTATTAACAAGGAAATACTAGTTCAAAGCTGTTAATCTGACTAATTTGAAAATGTATTTTCTTCACTAAGGGAAGGGTTTCTCCGAAAGAAATAGTAATTGTCAGCGATACATTGTGTCTGAAACTTTCTTATCTGCTGGTTTTACTCTTAATTAAAGAGAAGGAGGTAAGCAGCAGCCACCTGCAGAAGTCTTCACAAGCTGGAGATGGACCCAGGAGTGGACAGAGTTGTCTCCTCTTTTGCAGCTTACATGTGGCGCTAACGATTCCATCTCCCCGTTAGGAAAAGGGGACAAGAGAATGTTGGTTTTGTCTTACTGAGGGAAGAGGCTTCTGAAGAGCTGGGGAACTAGGTGGAGCAGACTTAAGCTTCTGGGCAGGAAGGATTTATCAGCCTGCCCAGGTAGGAATTTGTGCTGTGCATCCTGGAAAGTGACCAGCTATTGCGGTTGTGCCAGCAAGTCCCTGTTGCGTAAAGGTTTACACTGTACTCATCTGCAGCAGCCTGACTTGTCTTGTGCTGGAAATGGCTTATTTTTGTATTTTATTTTGGCAGTGCTTTGCTATTTGTCATTCACATTGTGATTATGAAGCGTAATTTCCATGCAGTTAGGGTGTGTTGAGCCATTTGCATACTGAACAAGCAAATGTATCTTCTCTTTCAGATCGTCACTGCCATTGTTTATGTTAACATGGATGTAATTATGATTTCACAATTCCTCTACTATAAGCTCAAGAATCAGATGTCAAAATGTAAGTTCTTTCAACAATTAAAATGTAGCATGTTCTTTACCTTGATGTCTTGTACAGTGTTTAAATACATTTTTTTCAGGGGGATCAAAAAAGGCCTCACAACTTCAACCGGCAATTACTTGCTTTTGTGAAAATCTTACCCATTCTTTTCTCTTCCTTTCTGCTTTTCTCACCCACACAATATCTGTAAATATTTTCCATGTAGTACTTTCAGTTTATATAGACATAAAATCTGCAGTAGTTTTGTGGGATCTGGTTCCATATTTTAACTTACTCCATGGTTTTACTATCTGCTTACAGCTATCTAAATATATGTATAAATTGAAAGAGAGCATTATTTCTTTGTGTGGTTCAGTTAGTTTCCTCCAAGTTGATTGAAACGGGACTTTATTTGCTTATAGCATAAAATATCTTGACATCTTCATGTGTTCTGTTTCAATGCATATAGTTAAAAAACGTATTCAAGGGAAATGAAATTACTTGAGTGGTGCTTCATAAAATCCTGGCAGTAGTTGTAGTATTCAGCCTACCCATGGACTACTGTTTTGAGTGAAATGGAAGACGGAAAGCTCTGCTCACATTGTATCAAATCAAAAACAATAACTCATCAATCTAAAAAAAAAAAAAAGTAGGTATCAAAGAAAATCCATGCTGCAGCAGAGGTAACAAAAAGCTGAAGTAAAACAGATGCTTTCCCAGCAGACTAAATAGGGATAAAGCAGATTCATTCAATATGGAACGGATAATAAACCTGGAGATAGGTCAGAGCTGAAGATATTTCCTTCCTGCTGCCTACTCCTGAAAACAGTCGCAGGCTTTTGCACGTTCTAACTGCCAGTGCCTGTTTCAGCTCACTGCTTTGCATCGCTGGAGACGGAGGAATGGTACTGTGAATAAAGCCGTAAAGAGGGCTTTTCGATACCCAGTTCTTGAGCAGTGAGGCTGGGCAAGGGGGTCGGTTTTGCCTCTCAAAGTGCAGCCACTGGAACAGCACTCCTACGCCTGTGTTTTTTAGGCTGCAGGCCTTTAGGACGGGCTTAGCAATGCTGTGCAGCACTTTGTTCCACTGGTAGCAGATACCGCAGGACTTCTGCCAGCATCTTGGAGGTACAGACGGTAGTGTAGCCCCGGAGTTCTCTAGGATCATCTGCCTTTTTCAGGTTGTCTTGTGGACAGTCTATGGAGACTTGCTAGATGGAGTCTGTGTCTCAATATGCAGGTCTCGGTAAGGCTCGGTATCTAGCTAACCATGGACAGAGACTAGTCCAGCAGAACGCTTAAATATTTATCTTGAAGACATTTTTGTTAATTTTAAATTTTAAATATCCTTGCTTTTGCAGTTTTTAATCAAGATGTGCTGAAAGAAACTGTTCTACTTGGCGGTTTTCTGTTTATTGGCTGTTACTTAATAATAACCTATTAGGAGTTAATACAAGAGATAAGCTGTGTATGCAAATTCTCTCTCTCGGTGGCATTTAAAGAGTTCCCCTCCTGTTCCTGCACTGCTACCCTCAGTTGTTGCACGAAGACACAGCACAACTATGATAGTGATCATAGGTGGGCACAGAGCCCAGAAGAAAGAGGTGGACTTAGGTTGCTGCCAAGACAGAGATACATGAAATTGTACCTTTAAATTTACATCTTTATTTTACAAACAAAAAGTAACCTTAAATCAACTGCAGATGTTATTTTTCAGCCAATTTGTTTGTCATTCTAGGCAGCAAAAGCCTGAAGAATGTCTGTGTAACCTGGATGATGGTGTGTATAGCGCTGTGTGTTATTTTACCCTGTCAGCTGTTACTAAGAAACCAAGACCGGAGTACAGTAATCGAGAGGAGTAATGTAAGTTTTTACCTGTTTCTGTTCCAAAAAAATAAAAATTCCAGCCAAAAGTGTCTTGAAGACATTGTGTAGTCTGAGCTTTAAAGAAATTTGGATGACATTTTTAACAATGATTCAGAAGCCATAAGTGTGGCGCTGTGTAGATGTTTTAACTACGGGCCAAACATCCCCAAATAAAGAAGTTCTAAAATTGCTTCTTTTAGCAGCTTCCTGTGTTTCGGGCTTATTCTGTCCCTCGGGTCATTAGGATGTGCCGCTCTGCAAAATAACATGCACACGTGTTGTGTTTCTGCTTGTGTTACATACTGTGGACGTCCACGTAGAGACTACACAGGCACAAGTGAAATCAATAAAAGCGGAAAATTACGATTGTACCTGCTGCTGCTGTCATTTCAGCACAAAGTTCACAGGCCATTCCAGCAATTTGATGGCCTTCATACTAATGCCGGTAAAATAATTGTAATCCAGCAGCGTTGCCCAGCGGGGAAGCAGCTTATTTTCAAAACACAGCTAGAGTGAGAAAACTAACAACTCTTAAACTGTGAAAAATGAGTATTTTGCTTTTTCCAGACAGGATGATTCATTTTTTTTAGTGGCCCTTGCTACAATTCTCAGTTTTGGTTTGAATTATTGTGCCCAGGCTTCTTTAGCCGGAGGACTGGATTGATACTGGTGTCGTATCCTAAAGCCCGGGCACTAGTTTTGATCTCAGTCATGGCTGTGACGCAGCACTGTGCATTGTTGTGAGAGAAAGATTAAACCCTTTCTAGCCCTCTTTGGGCGTGTGAAGAGCAGCGCTGAACTGCTTTGAAAGGACTTCTCTCCAGAAAATCAGCCAGTGGACTCTCAGTTTAATCCTCAGAAATGCCTGAAAACATTCTTGCCAAAATATATGTACCTTTTTTTTTTTTTCAGGACTCTCTTGATATGATTGAAATGTCAGGCTTCATTTGTGGCTATATATCCTGTGTGTTTTACTTGGGAAGTAGGTTTCCTCAGCTGTATAAAAATGTAAGTAGGTTTTGTGGCTAAACACACTTTACAAAATACTCTGTGTTGCTTTAGATGTTGGATTCTCCCTAACAGTGAGCCCTCCTGAACTCAAAAGCCTACTTTGCTTTTGTGTCTGTCTGAAATGGTGAAGAAAAATAAATGGGATTTTTCCCATTCAGGGGAGGATGGTGAGAATTTTGGGAAAACGATGGTCTTTGATGGAGGAGGATTGATTGGCTGAGGAAGAGGAAGTGTTTACAGTTGGATTTATCAGATATGAACAGAAACATTCTTTGTGTTGTTTTTATCATGAACAAGTGATACCTCCGTCGATCTTTACTTTCTCCAAACTATTCTACCTTGGGATCAAAACCATGGGGTCAAAAGTTAGAATTATAGGAAAATTAGTCTAGAATTTTAGCACTTTCTTCACAAAGATGCCATTACTGACTATTTTCTTCCCACAGCTTCTTCACTATCAGGGTATTAAAAACAAAGCAAACAGCAAAACACACCAAAAGACTTGAGGTTTTATGTTGTCAGTTGTACACAGGCTTTTTACTCGATTATGGAAATGATTAGTTTGTTTTCAAAAAGGTCTACCAAACAGGCCGAGAGAGGCACGGATTTCTGAAGAACTAAAGCAGATTATCCTTGCTGCTTTGTGCATACATAAAAGTTACGTTAACTGGATCTGCTTCTGAGAACTGTAACCATTTCTGTACTTTCAGTGCTACGTGCTGAAAGCCCTGAGCTCAGGGGATTCAGGGCCCAGGAGGAGATGGACGAGGATGACTGAAAGTCTTTGGATGTGTACATTCCAATTCTGGTACAAAGTGCCAGAATTATCAGTAACTGGCTACTGGGACACATGTTTTAACATTTCTTTCTGTTTGTAAAAACCTCTCTGTTTAGTTTCGAAGAAGATCAACAGAAGGCACCTCGTACCTGCTCTTCGCGCTAGCCATGATGGGAAACTCTACGTACGGGCTGAGCCTTGTTTTAAAGATGCCAGCTACCGAATCCTCCCGGGCCCTCTACTTCCTACACCATCTTCCATGGCTTATTGGGAGCTTTGGAGTTCTGTTTCTAGACGTTTTTGTATCCTTTTCCTGGTTTAGCTAGAGTTTCTCAGAACAGGCGTCTTAACAAGTAGGTCAGAAATTAAGTGGATTTTTTTTCTTAATTTTTTTTTCTATGATTCTAACCTGATCATAAAATCTTCTTTCTGAACAATAATTTGTATGCTTTTTATAATAATATTTCCTGATGAGAATAACAGCTTCTGGAAAACACCTACATTAAAGCTACATCTCACAGATTCATTTCTATCTTGTAGCCAATATGTAGTACACTAAAAGCTGGAGGGCGTTGCACATTGTGCTGTTTTTCGTAGGTTTGCTGTCTGATAAATGTAGAAAAAAAACAAACAAACAAACACCAAACCAACAAACCAAAACAAACCTCAAACCTGCTTGTTTTTAAATGCAAATATGGAATTATAGCTTTGAAAATTTGGTTAAATTGTTATTGCAAGGTTGGATTAACGTCAGAGACAAGCAATGAGGTTTTGATGAACTTAGTTTCAGAAAACAGCACTTAAAGAAATGCTACAGCTGCACTTAACTGCAGAATCTGGGGCAAAATCAGATGCATTGAGGCACTGAGTGCCTCTGAAAACCAGCAGCTACACTCATGCTAAGGGCTAAGTCAAGCTAAGGGCTAACCAACAGCACAGTTATCTAGATTAGTTAGTTATAATTAGGATATTAGTTATTGTTAGTCGTGCTCTTTCTACATTGAGCATTAGCATTTTATGATCAAGAAATTTAAAGCACGATGTTTAGAGTAATGTCGCACTTTTGCTTTAAAAGCCTCACCACAGTAATGTGGTGCTTGGTCTTACTATTCAGTTTAGGTTTACAGTGACCTGTCTTGTCACTAGAGCTTGTATTTTCACTTCAAAGTGTATAAAGAGGAGATTTTCTGATTTTTCCTGGAGTAAGAATTTTAGGTTTGTGTCTGAAGACATCTTGGTACTTAGCTCCATGAACTCAAACTATAAAACGGGATAAAATGCAGAGTGATTTCAAGACCACGCTGAAACATATTGTGTTAATCCGTTCCATACTAAGAGGAAGTTCTTTACCAGATTTACCTGGAACAGTTCCAGAAGTTACGATTCCCATGCATCAGTCTTGTCTTTCTGATTAAAGTCTCTTCATAAGCCACTCCAATTAGGCTAGGGATGGGATGGCCGGCCCTGGCCTTTGGACGGCCCGTTAAATTACGCCGTGGTTCAGAGCAGCCGTCCGTGTGTTTTGCATCTCCAGCCCTGGCCAGTTAAGTGGGAGGTTTAGTAAAACACGCTGCGCCGTGGGAACACACTGCCGTGGTGAGACTGAACTGTGGTGCCTGGCCCTTTTTGAAGTGAACTCTAGTTTTATGAGGCAACGCCGTTTCTTTTGCCTGAGCAGACCGTAGGGGTTCAGGGTCGCTAGCCCATGTGGCTAGTCTGAGCACTCAGGCCTTTCATCCCATGAACGAAATGGTGCCTCTTCCTTCCACCCCCAGCCCCCAAGCTGGAAACATAAACCGCCCAGTATTTATTTACCCCAAACCCCCTAGAATTTGATCTTGATGACCCTTACAGTACATTACGTCTGTATTTGCAGATGCCTTTCTACGCTGTGCTCTGAAAAGGAACTTTTACATTGGCCACAAACCTCCCCCCTCCCAGAGCCCTGCCCGGGGACTGCAGTGCCAGGGTGCACATGACATTCATTTCTGGGTCCTGTCTTGATTGGAGTCTGAATCCAATCTCACTAATAGTCCTCCAGTTCAAATTATATTGAAAACAGATGCTTCCAAATCAGGTTGAGGAGCTTATAGGAATCTAGTCAAGTATATAGTGTTAGTTGAAAATGTATGAAGTATTTGTAATCAAGAGAAAACAAAAGCAGACCTCCTGCTTTGAGAAGCCCTGAAGGTATGGAAGTCAGTGCTTTTAGAGAGCTTCATCCCTGTCTCTTGGTGAGCAAGAAAATCAAAAATCCGGTGAACTGCTGTGTCATGTTAGACCAGAAAACGAAGAACAGGGTCACCTGGGCTTCGGAAAACAGAGGAATTAAACCAGAAAGTCATAATTCCTAGGAGGGAGGTGTTTCTTAGTCGATCACCTGTGTAACATCAGTCTCTGGTTTGAGTGGTAGTTGCAGAAATTGCCTAATTCTAGTAGACTTTATTCCTGATAGCGTCCAGAGTTTCATTAGGTGGAAAATAAACTCTCATTTCTCAAGGTCCAAGCAAGGATTAAGAGTTCACTTACTCTGTGTCTGCTGCAGTATTCTTTTGCTTCCATCTGACACGGCTGGCATTGGCTATTTTTAGAAACTAATGGACTCCTGATCATGGCTGGAGCAGCAGCTCCAGCGTTACTTAGTGCAGGATTGCACTGGGGTAGTTTCAGCTCAGTTTAACAGGATGACACGGTTGACACTTCCGTGGTGTCTAGGAGTGAAGTTTTGTTGTTGCACAATAGGCCAGTTATTTTTGATAAACAATGGAAGTGTCCAATTGTTTGTAAATATGAATTGCCCTCCTCATTTTAAGAGGAATTTCATGGCATTACACATTTGAATTGTAAATTGGACACGATTTTCTTTTCCAGTAAATGTTTCCTTCCAACAGCCGCTCTGCAGTGGAAGGTGGTTGGAGTTTCTCAAGAAACCACAAAACCCGGGGTTTGAGCGGGGCTGGCGGGTGCCTTGTCAGAGACGCCCAGCCCAGATTTGCCTACTGTGGGGTATTTTAAGATCAGCTGATGACCAGTTCTGCCCTTACACCTTTAGCCACAGCCATCACTGAGTTTCTGAGACTGAATCCAGTGCAAGATTTTCCAGAAAACTTTGTCCTTTTCTGCGAGTCTGCTACCCTCCGTCACCCTGCTTCCTTCCTCCCTCTCCCACCAAAACCAAACAACTCTGCTTTGTATTTAGTTCAGACAAAGCCCTTTACCAACATTTGTGCTTTTTTTTTTTTTTGACATCACCCTATTGTCAGAGAACTCCGTTCGAATCCTCCACATGCACTTCTTTTCATTAAGGGTAGCCAGGTTGTTACTAGATAGCCAAAGGATATTC